TCCACGAGCGCTCTCACTATGTCCACAAATCCATTCCAATGGGTTCTACGAAGGAAATTGAGCATTGACATAAGTCTACCAGCCTCGCCCCATACGAACTGGTACTTCGGAAGAGTGAGATGAAGTCGACCGCTTTCTGCTCGTACTGTACGGCTGCAGCTTTGCACGGACTGCTGAACGTCATCCCATGGGCTCCTCGCCTCAATAGTCCCATCCGTTTTGTAGACGAAATCCGACAGGAATCGCGAGTTATCTCCGTCTTGCGTGAACTCCGCCAGGGCGGTATAAAACGTGTCCCGATCTTCGTATACCGGGTAGCCTCCGGACGTACCGACATTGGTACTAAAAAGTGAGAGGGAAATCGTGCATGCCCGTTCAATGCGAAGGAAACATATTTTCGTGCGCAACAGGTGCTGCTGGTAATATTGTGCTGCTGAAGTCAAACGCGACGGGATCGCTGGGATCGTTAGCTCTCTTGCGGGAAGGAGCTCCAGTCTCAAGGGCCTAGTTTCTCTTGTGGAAAAAGAGAAGTTCCGGAAACCTTGCTTAGTGACGATGGGTGCTGGCGCTTTTCGTGCGTTTCTGTAACTTGCCCTTGCGAACAGATAGATAAGAATACACGCGGATCCGGATTACTCCCGAAGAAAATATAGTGCCGTTCTACAAGCGAGGGAGGGATAACCACACCGTTCGTGATCTACGCTTGGTGTGAACGAGGGTCGCGACGTCTAGGCACGCAGAGGGCAATGTATTCGGTGAGGAGCAGATGTAACCTTCCCAGCAACAGGGCATTTCATAGTCGACGACTGATTCCATTCACCGAAGGATAGAAGTTGAACGACGGCTAGAAACAATTTGCAAAGAAGGTCAACAAGGAAACACAAGGCTACTACCCAGGAGGCGAAGCTAGTTTCCCACGCAAACCACCACCGCACTAGACACATTGTAAACTGAGATACCTCTGTGGAGTACTTCTTAAAGCTGTCACGCCGTCCGCGCGTCCGGGTAGTGTGTCCTTGCAGGCTTCACGGCTAGAATGCTCAAACTCTCATCAACTTTGAACCCGAAATGCACAATGTCGTTTTTTCAATGGTTCATTCCCAACAGTCTCAACGTCGGAATTCTACGGGGAGCAATGCACTTCACCCATAGGTTTCTGGTAGAACCTCTGAAATAAACGGGCGCGTTACGACAGAAGAATTCGAAACAAAAAAGCATGGTCTGATCGCATGTAGAGGAAACAAACACGATCATTTCGACAACACGAACTGAACGGACAAGAGAGTGTAACAGGCGCACCTGTACTCTGTATGGTTGGCAGTCCAAGAAAGAAGACCGGACAGCCACGACGTTATTGGGCCGACGACGAACCTCTGGTCCACCATGAGGGAGTCAGTTCCCTGAATCTGCGCCTGTTCATCCACATGATCGCAATGTGTGTACGTACGCGATACGGCGGCAGGTACGTATCATGATCCCGATCGATTTTTCCAGCGTCCGAGTCTCTGCGCCTTGAACGTTGATGCTATCGACTAGGGCGGCGCCTGAGGGTGCCCTCAAGAGAGGGTCAGGTCGGACATCGCGATTCTTTCCTTCTGGTTGCGTTAGGAATAATACTGAAATTGTGGCCGTCTAGAAACCAATGTGTAGTATGCCTACCACAGTAGATCTGCCCCGAGAAAGGGGAAACGTTAAACCCAAGACCCCGCCAGGTAACCTCGAATTGGGCGGAGACCACCCGGCTCTCTTGTTTGCGAGACAGACCCCAACGCCGCATCCGATACACTAACCACCGCAGGAGGTATCACCTCTTCCACATGAAAATAAAAGTCAATCTACATCTACCGTATCCCTGGACATGATGCCGAATGCCGGTGCTGTCGGGGACATCGTAACCTCCGTCGCTTCCCGCCCTGGAGAAGATTGACGGGCGTGACATGTACACAACCCCACAGTATCCGTGCCGCTTCTTTATTCTGTGCGGATCAGGTGGTCATTTGTACTGACGCGAGCAAGTGCATGAGACTGGTCGGTCGGAGGCTTTTGCGAGCACCTTCGATCCTGCTTGTTTGTCCTGCTGGCATTCGCAGCCGCGGGCAGGAGGACGACGTCAAATCAACCTGTACGTCACGCTCTTGCGCATGACTCTGCTCTCCTCGTTACTCGACAGCGCTTACCTGCACGGCAACGTCTGGGTAGTCCACTTCAAGGGTGTAAACGGACAGCGGAATGAATTGCGTGTCGATCTCCAGCTCGTACTCCCTAGCCAGGTCCGTGTCTGAAAAAGGTTTCGACGTTCCGCAATATGTGAGAGCTCTTCCAACGTGGATATCGGTGGGTGGGCGACCGAGAAACCCTCTGCTATTGACAATCGACACAACATTCAAAACCGACGTACCACCTCGCCGTGAAATAAGGCATAGCGGTAACCCTATCGCCTCGTCGGAAAATCGGCCCGATCATCATCGCCTCGATTCATTCAACTCGATCTAGAATACTAGAGCAAGAACAAGAGCGAGAAAACCACTCCCAGCTCCAAGAGAAGGGGGATGAACAGTTCTCCAACAAAGTTTGGTGAAACGGCGGTTCACAACCGCAGTGTTCCCGGACCCGAAACTTCCAGAGAGACTCCGCGGGCGATGGCAGCGTATGGGATGGCGAAAAGCGAAACAACAATGGGATGAGAACCCTCCAGGGGCTGACCGTACGTGCATGGCCAACTCACAATATTGGGCGTGGTGGGTATCGGGAGCGAGGTCGATAACGTCGAAGCCCTCCGTTGCCTGAAGAACGTGCCCGTTATTTTTCCAGGACGAATCCCGGCGTGCGTGGAGCAAGGCAAGCACACCATCAACGTGACTATAGCATTAGATTATTGCGAGGTGTCCCACTACTCAAGTTTGTTCTCCGTCTCCGGTGGTTGGGGAAGACTACGTCAAACCCGGGAGACATTGCCTACACACTTGTGGATGGCTGCTATCGGGCAAAAATGTTTTTGCACATGGCCGACTTTCACGTTGAGTAGAAAATCAAATCGGAAAGTTTGAAACCGCCACGTGGTAAAGAGATGAGACATGATGAATCAAGACCCCGGAGACCCCGAAGAATTCCGATTTCTCCAAAAATATCAAAGTCGTCGCATTCGGGCGTTACAATCATCGAAGATCCGAGCGACGTTACGGCGTTTGTCCGGTATGCGTGTCAAGCCCCCAACGACGCAGCCGGACCCGCCAAAAAGGATATGTCGATTGTTTGCAGTACACGGCTAGCCACGCAATCCAATCTTTAAGCACACTGCTACAGCGTTTTGCTCTCCCTCGGCAAACCTCTACCTGAGTGACGCCGTAGACGCCAGCAGCGAAAATACACGCCGAGCCAACGAGCACCAGCGCCTTGCCCTTCGTCGACAGAATAAACGGGGTGTATTTTTCCCTCATAAACCTGAACCAAGATCCCGACCAGGCGTGGGGACGACGGGGCGCATGTTGTGTCATGTTGTTCTCCTCGCATGAGGACCGCCAGATTCAGGTATGTGAGGTCTGCCACCAAGTGCCACTCGCCGTGTCCAATCACTTTGGCACACATCCACCTACCAGCAACAGCAACATCGCTGCCACGGACACCGACATCGGTACCTAACAACGATCATCACGACGATCACGACGATCCCGACGGCGAATGCAGTAGCAATCGCCCACGATGTGCATCATTTTGCCTTACCTCCCGAAGGGCGTGATCTGCATTGCCTTAGCGTCTTGACTGCTTTTGCGGGGCTGATCCTCGCGTGCCTCGGGGGGTCGACCATGCATTCGTTCAACACCATCCTACGTTTTAAGGGAGGGTGGCGGCGGGGATTTGGGGCTCGCGAAGTTCGGTGAGATCTGCAAGTCCGGTGGATCCGGCATGTACCATTTGCCAGGCGCGTAACAATTTCGGGATAGCACTTCTCTCCATGTCCGCTGTAAGGGTACGTTACACTCAGAAACAAATGTTGGAGGATGGGTGATGCTGCCCAAAGCCTCGGACCTGTCGGCCACACCATCGACATTTCGGAATTTTGGTGTGATTCGAGTGCGTCCAAGGGCCACATCTCAAGATGTGTCCACGTTGAGGCGCGATATTGGTCACGCCTAGGTGGAAGCCAATTGAAGCTGCACACTCGTCGTCTGTGCTCGGCTTCTTGTGCAGCAGGGCAAGCAACCTGAGGCGACATTTTTCCATGGCTTTCGAACTTGGAATCTCAGGGGAAGGGGACGACAACGGCCGCGATGAGTTGCTTGCCTCTTGGAGAGCGGTGTAGCGAGCACCAGCCTTCAAGCAGCAGAGCCAGTCCATCTTGCCCGCCTTCTGCCTGTTGGCGTCTATCGCTAGACACGCCGCGAAGGCCGTGACCTAAGATTTCAAAGAGGCCGAAGACATGAAGGGACGCGGCCCGGGGGTGTGGGATCGAAACGAAGTATTGAGCTGAGCTGGCTTCACGGTGCGCCTGTGGTCACATTGGTGTTGATGAGATGTGGCGTGGTAGTCTACACCGGTAGCGTATGGTACCTACTCAGAACGTTTGGCGCCGCCTGGGAGATGCATGAACGGCCAACGTACTTGGAGATAGTCTATGCAACCAAGCGACGGTCGATGATTCTTTCGTGCCACACGTTCTAACAATCAACCTTGGGATAGCGACAGACACGTTCCACCCACACAACGCCCCCGTTTCAACAATGAGGGAGCGAAAATCGAGTGCGAAAAGCGGCGGAACATTTCGTACGTAGAGTCGATTGCCTGGTGTTTATTCTGTCAGAGACGAGCAAGTGCTCAGCGGGTGACGCCCAACCCCTGACGTGGCGTGCATAGCTCGCTTGCTTTTTTCTTGCCTGCATCATGAAGTCGAAAAGAATGGCCGTGCCCGCGTAGAGGCAGAAGTACCTCACCGCTGGGAGAGAGGTGGTGCTCCCCAGCATGAAGGCAGCAACGTTCGTCATCGAAGTGTCTGGACAGCGGCGGCGACAAGAGATGTTTGTTTGGCGGGCGCTGGCTGGCTGGTCAGAGAGAGAGATTCTCCGTTCTGCGGACCGCCCAACTGCTCTACGCCGCTGACCTACTGTAGATGTCCTATCGCTGCTTGTAGGCACAACAGCAAACTATCTCTCGCTCTTGCTTTGTGTCTCTGCAGCAACTTGCAAGTCTTGTTAGGCCTGCTGGAGTTCTTCATTGCCTCATCCTGTTCGTTCTCGATTAATCGGGATGCATACGCACGAGGAGGGAGCGCGAGGGTACGTCGTTCTCGAAACGATCAAACCTCGAATGCACACCCACAGATCATTAGCTCTGGGGCAGCGCTCGTTTTCGCAAACACCTTGGCATTGAACTCGATAATCGGTACGCTACACCGGATATTTGGTCCAGAGCAATATCGTGTTTACATTATCAGAAGTGCGAGCGCTCTGGAAGTGATTGCGCTACCGTCAGAGCGCTGTCCATGCCAATAAGCTGGCGCTGGAAGAATGGCCGAACAACGAGGGGAGAGACTTTCGATCTCGTCGCACAGAACCCGCACTCGGCTGTTGAGAAACATCAAAGGCGTCGACGATGGTCGGTATTGATGGAAGCACTAACGCCGACAACCACAACAACAACAATAATATCAACACCAATACTCACAGGTGATGGATACCCCGCAGCGCTTGAGGGCGTCCGCTATCCTCCGTTCAACTGGCAGGGCTGGATCGGTATGGTCGAACGAAGACACGATCACGATCTGCACGAATCCAGACACGACACGGCACCGCGGAAGGTAAAGTTATTCCCAGGAAACGTATTTCCACCCAAGGGTTTCAGAGACACGCCCAGCCCCAAGGGAAAGAAGGGCGAGCACAAACAAATTCGCGCAGAGCGTCAGATCCTCCGGTTCGGGTTCGGAAGAAGTGGGATTCCAGAAACAAGCAGAGGGTACACAGACTGATTCACGAGCGACGGTATTGTGTAATGCATGGCATCTGCGGCGATGTGTTCAAACACGAAGCATTGCTGCCATGTCAGAGACCGAAGAAACCCGAGCTCGTCGGGGTAGGGGGGGGAGGGGCGGCCCCCAGGTGGGCACCCAGGTTTCACTGACATTCCATGAGGTAAAGCAACTTTGGAAGATGAGCACCGAGTGACGCCGCCCAACCGGAGCCCAGCAGGCGATAGACGAATCGTGTGGCGGGTTAAACATGGGCACCGCCAATGACAACGCAATACGCACGCTATTGCTAGATCGTCGAACACGGGCGATAAACACGGGAACGAGAGCTCCGTCACGCACAACCTCTCGCTTGTTGTACAGCGAGAAAACCGTGTGGTCGAATATCGGGTGAACGCAAGCGTGTTCATGCTTTCTTAGTTTGTAGAGCTCCGTTCCGTTTGGCTCGGAAAACAACGTGAGCAACGGGACGCGACTGTGTTCTCGCTTTCCCGATCGAGCATGTCCCCCGCAGAGCGTGCCTCTTGTTCACGTAGGTTTCAGTCTCACCATGTCGTCTACGCCAATGCCGACGAGGATGAAGGGTAGGACCTGGGACAGCGTCGTGAACGGGACGCCTTTCACGGTTGAGCGATGCGGAAGCGGACGAGAGAGAGAAAGAGAGAGAGAGAGGAGAGAGAGAGAGAGAGAGAAAGACAGACAGACAGACAGACAGACAGACAGACAGACAGACGACATAATCATGTCAACTTATCAATTCCGCTTTGGCGTCGATAGCAGCAATATTGGCCTCCACAACAATGATAGCGTCATTTTGTTTTTTCCAGAAGTGGTTGTCTTTTTCTCGTGATTACGTGGGATGCCTGCCAAAGGGTATCCCGCAATCCGGTTCGAGTGGGTCCACTAGAATGCGTTTGCGATTCAAGAGTACCCTCGTGGGCAGGAGTTCATTAGCCCTTTGCACCCCAACACTATGGAATGCGTATCTGTTTTTATTACTTCGAAGGTATCTTGTGTGATTTCGGACGGGTATCGTGTACCAGTACTCTCGCGACGAGGCGTGGCCATCGCCCGTGTTTGTGCGCATTCCTTGAAGCCAACAAAACTGCCGGCGCCGTTCTGCACAGCTTGTCGCAGCTGCCGACGACACCATATCCAAGGGCATTCCACCCAGCCACACTATCTCCATCTGCAACCACTTGTATGGGAATATACCATATTGCCCGACGTCTATCGGTTACCATTGGCAACCTGAAAAGGCGTCGGGGTGCGACAGACCCGTCACCGTCTACCGTCTGCAGCAACGACCGCGAGCGAAAGAGAGGCGTGCTTTTTCCTCACCGAAGGCGCTGTTGAGCCCGTACGCGGCGACTCCGGCGGAGATTATGAACCCAACGCCTGCCACGCCGAGCCAGCTCCTCCTTCGGACGGGCCCCTCGCCGCACTTTCCGAGAATCACCGTAATGAACACGATCATGGTCGTGTCTGCGAGGGTTGTGTTTCGGCGGATGGGTGAGTGCCGGCGTTGGTTGCGTGATCGGATGATGCCACCTTGAGGCTGGCAGGCAAAACCAATATGCTATCTGATTTCTAACCCGTTCCTTCTTGCCGGGAGGGTCGAGGAGATCAAATCATCTGGCAACCTTGCCTATCGAGCGAGCTACGGAGCTCCACAGACACCTTAGATGAAAGCAGCGATGTGTGTGTGTGCGTATGTTTTTTGGGGTGGACAGTTTTTCGAGGAAATTCCAGCGTTTCTTGTCAATATCGACACAGGCCACGCCGTTTACCTGCCGATGACGCCAGCCTTCTCCCCATGCATTGATACCCGGGAAAAAGGGGACGGAAACGAAAAAGACCGAGAGATAGTCGGACATACAACTATTCTACATATTCACGAGAACATGAATGCACCAGACCTTCGCAAAAAAGCCAAGAAGAGAATGAATCTGCACGTGATCAACGATCGCGCCTGGCGCTGCGACCGGCCGGAACTTAGCAAAACACACGGTTTCGTTCATCAAACTGCACCGCCCCCACTCCTGTCGTATCCAACCCGCGTCTCGAAATCTCGGCTGTGCCCAAAAGCTAGAAACTGCTGCTTAATATGGACGAAGCTGTCTACGTTTGACGTGTGAAGTCAAAACGTCAGCATCGGTCTTACATGTGATGCCAAAGAGGAACGTCTCTCCGGAGACGCTCGCCGCCAAGGCGTCGTCGATCGACCTCCCGGTGAAGTATCGCAGGTTGAAGATCGCCCCAACATCGTCGTCGCCACCCCCTGAA